ACGGTACGAGTACAAAAGATTTATTACCTCCGCCTTTCACGACTACTAGTCTATCTAGGCGTGTGTGTGTGCGGCGCCTCCACCTCCATTATTAAGGGAGGGGGACAGATCTGATGCATGTCGCCGTATGGAAAAAACGCATGTAGATTAGTCTAGAGCCTAACATAGACTAGCGTCAAGGCTGTTTGTGCAACCTGCATTAACCAAGTATAACATGCTAACGATACGGAAAGAGAATGCTGGGGAGCAAAAGCGAGAGAGTAATGTGCAGAGAATTCGCACCAGCTTGTCCATCTATCGATCTAAGCCTGGATATAGTCTACACAAGTGTGGGCTGCTGCTGCTGCTGCACAGCACCACCTACTACTGCTGTACAAATATAGTCTATCATGGGGCACTTACTTACTCCAATGCAGTTCTGTTTTTTTTGTGTTAGCTAATTCACCCATAGCTACTGCTACAAAAAATAGACGCGAATGCGCGAGATATTGACGTGCGACGCCAATGCTTGTGGCGGCAGTGCCGTGTCTTTACTTGGGATACCTCTGTAGAATACAAATGTGGTCTAGACTATCTACAAAAATGTAGACTTCGCACATAGACTAGACTAGTCTACATATNATGGGAAGCACTCCATTCACCTGGTATGGTACTCGCGGCGCGCTCAGATCTATACTGCCTGCTGTGAAAATCCGGGATTTCTTCGGTTTTTGTCCCCGGGGTCTCGTTTAATAAACGATACCCATGGGGTTCGTTTACCGGCTCCCCGCAAATGCAAGATGCAAGGGGGTAGCTTCCTCTCTCGAGGCCCCCTGGCGAATTCGCACCTGGAAGCCCGCGCCCCTACAAATGGCGCAGCAGACATCCTCGCCCTGGCTAGTGCCGGCGTGCTAGATCCCTATGCACGTGCGAAAAGCAGGTAGAACTGTATGCAGCACAATGCTCGTCGTCAACTTGCACACAGCTGTCAGAGGTCTCAGGCCGCTCATTATTAGCGGTGGCAAGTCGAGTCACAGTTTGAACTCTCTCCGCATGATGACGACCAAAGTCTCTGTGTTGGACCCGTCAAGACCAAGACCACAGCTTCGCGAGTGCATCCTGGGAGCGCCGGACGAGCCTGGTTGTTACATCTTCGAGTCGCGAGATGGGCGCAAGCTGTATATCGGCAAGAGCGTTAACCTCTCCTCGAGAGTGCAAAGCTATTTCAGCAGCAGCAGCAGCAGCAGCAGCAGCGCGGGCAACGGCGCTGAACATGCGATGCGTCCCGGACGGAATCTGTCGCGCCGCATCGCGGTCATGACAGATCTTGTAGAAAGGTGGGTGACAGCTGAAAGAGATAGTTTATCTGGCGGTCGCAAGAGGGATGGGGTGTGAACTTTACCTTTGCACCCGGTTGGGCATCTGATCTGAGATAGAAGTACATACGCATAGTAGTTTGTTTTTTTATGTTGAAGTATGGTGGTACGCAGTCGTCAGTATGCAAATAAAACTTCCGGCGGATTCTACGGTACCGCAGTATATTCATAAGTAGTGGTGTGCTGGCACTGCTGTAGTCTGGTCGTGCAAAACGAAATCATCACGATCCGAAGCAGGTGAAACGCTATCTTTTGTCACATGCCACCTGTACCACCATCTCCACCGCCAAGGCTGGGCTGTGATCTCCTTACCGCACTTCCAGAGAAAGGGCAGCGGTAGGTGGAAGATTTGGTGGACTATAATAGTCTAGTGAGGGGAGCGAGGGTCTCAATGTTCAAATGTGTGTGTGTACAGTAGCGTGGATGCTCGAAGTCTCTATAATGTACTTACAGTACGAGGAGCGTCCCTGAAGGCGGTCAAAGTGTGCCAAGTTTTACACACCATACATACACCAGGCTCCCCAATCTATTGTTCTCCGCATCAGTGGAACAGCCATTCGACAATCGCATTCTGTCACACATTGCATTTGCAACTGATACCGGCAAGGGTAATAGACATGGAGTGAGATGACCCGCCCTCATTTGGTTCATGATCGCATGGTGTGCCTGGGTATGCATACGACTGCCGCATTGGTACATCATGCAACCGTGGGGAGCCGAACATGCGGCGGTCATGCACGCGCCCAGAAATTCTAACTTTAACCCCGGCGCTTTCAATTTTCCCTTGCTTCATGTACCTCAAAGAATCGACTATATTGTCACGGCGTCAGGAGCAGAAGCTCTTCTACTAGAGGCGTCCCTCATCCGACAGCACCAGCCACCGTTCAACGTCCTTCTCAAGGATGACAAGCAAAATTGTGAGAGCTTTTGTAACCTCCACGTAGTACTGTAGTACTGGTTGTGTTGCACCTTGGATCCACGTGCTGCTGCCGGTGTCGAGGGCTGGCTATCGGTATTGGCTACAATTCCCACTTGTTGGGGTCTGGCCGAGCCCCCCTTGCCTCCCTCCACAAAACCGTTCCTCACTGGCTATCTATCGCCGTGTCTCCCTTACGCCCCCGATCTCACAACACCATCCGCGTGCTCGGTAGACCCGTACGTCTGCGTCACCTGGAGCGAGCCTTACCCTCGTGTCCTCATCACCAGAGATAAGCCACGCCGCGGTGGAGGGTCAGAAGACCGATACTACGGACCCTTTGTGGACGCGGGACAGGTCAAGTCCACCGTCGCTCTCGTCCGGCGCGTACTCCCCCTACGCGAACGCGCCCGTCCCCTCTACAAGGACAAGCCTTGCCTGAACTATGACATGGGCATCTGCCCGGGGCCTTGCCAAGGTCTCGTTTCTGAGGAGGATTATGCCGAGACAGTTCGGCTGGCGGAGATGGTATTCCGGGGCGAGGGCACCCAACTCCTCTCCACGCTCCAAGGGCGCATGGAGAGCGAGTCTCGCGCAGAGAGGTTCGAACGAGCAGGGGAGATCAAGGCACAAATAGCCCTTGTGCGAGGGGGGCTGTTGGGATCGTCGCTGCATTTTTCAGCCGGGGGCGTAGCTGCCGGCGGCGGAGGGGACCGAGGAGGGCTCCAGCCCAGAGGAGACGGCGCCAGGGCTTCCTCTGCGGAAGGCGGCGGGTCCCGCAAGGACGTTGTGGCGGTGGGGCTGGCCGGAGGCTTGGCGTGCTTCCAGGTGTTCCAGGTGCGAGGCGGCCGTCTCATTGGCCGGCTGGGTTTCACGTACAGAGTGGAGGAGGAAGGATTGTCGAGAGGAGAGGTCCTGCAGGCGTGCCTGGAGCGGTACTGGGGAGACGTGCTCAAGTCCGCGCCGACCACAGCAGGCGGGGTAGGAGACGAGGTGGGCGACAGTCTTCCATCCCGGGCATTGAACGGCAACGCTGGGGCTAAAAGAGGGAAAGGAGGGGGATTTTCTGTTCTGGACGTGCCAGAAGAAATCGTCACAGCCGACGCGCTGCCCGAGGGTGGGGCGGTCTTACTCGCGGAGCTCCTTTCTGGCGCCAGGAAAGCAGCAGCCGGCGCGCAGCGCGGGGCACAAGTGACCGGTCGGGGCGAAGGCGGTTCTTCTAGAGACCTGACGACGGAGAAAGCAACAACTGGGAAGGCGCGGGGCAAGAGGTCGGTGGATAAGAGTTACCCGCCAGCGGTTGCGGTGAGGGTCGTCCACGGCGAGAGCGGCGCGGGGGAGCGGTACCATTTGTGTGTGATGGCGCTAAAGAATGCAGAGCTCGAAGCGAAGCGCCTGCTTCGGGGCGGCGAATCGACCGCGCGGGGGCTGTCCCAGCTCGCGCGGATGCTGGGCCTTGCCTCAGGCCCCGCTCGGATAGAGGGCTACGATGTAAGCCACACCGGGGGCGGAAACGCGGTGGGTTCCCTGGTCTGTTTCTTGGACGGCAAGGCCAGCCCCAACAACCACAGGCGGTACAGAATCAGATCGCCCGGAATCAGGAAGGGGCATTCCGACGACTTCGCCAGCCTGAGAGAGGTGATCGCCCGACGTTTTTCGCCTCCGGCTCCTCCTCTTCGATCGCCGTCGCCACCCTCACAAGCCAATCCGGTGCCTGAGCTAGTCCTCATCGACGGCGGGAAGGGCCAGCTGGCCGCGGCCCTGGAAGGAGCGGCGATAGCGGCCGATGCGTGGCTTTCTGTCGAGCGTGGGGGAACGACCACGCTCACTGACTGGGATACCGAGCCCGTCGTCGGCGCAGCGGCCGCCGTTGACACCGGGTCCCCTGGCGCACCACCGTTAGAAAGCGGAGAGCTTGCCGGGACGGCCCTCGTCGACGACGCAGTGCGAAGGGACCAAGCTTCATGGTCGGCGCTACCCCCGCTGGTGGGGGAGAGGACAGCCCAGGAGGAAGACCCCGACGCGATTTTGTCGACAGCGGCGGTTCCCCCGCCGGAGTCGTCGAGCGGGGACGTGGCAGGTGCCCGGACCGTAGACGTCGGCGGGGGAAGGAGAGTCACATTCGTTTCCTTGGCCAAGAAAGCAGAGGAGGTTTACGTGCCTGGGTCGAGTGAACCACTGGCGGCCGCTCTCGAGGCGGGTCCGTCTTCGCCGGGGGTAATGGTCTTGCGGCAGGTGAGCACCCGAGTTGGCCGTCAAGAGCTACATTGCCATTAATCTGCCATGGACGGGGTAGTGGGCTTGAGGCGGGTGAGCACCCGGGTGAGGCCGTCTAAAGTCACCTCCCCATGCTGTCACGGTCACTGTGGCGCAGCGGGGATGTGCGGAATGGATGGGGGCGAACTGATGTGTTGTTCCCCTCATCAATTGACCACGTTCTCGCTCAAGAAAGAACCCCGCCTTTGGTACCACGATGTACGCACAGTTGTGCAGCGGTTCAAAGCTTGCGGTCAGGAAGGCGTTCAAGCGAAAATATTCTGTTTCTCGCGGAGTTGTCTGACATTCCTGCCGTGTTGTTTCGCTTTGAAAATCGTGTACGTCGCGATGTATTGACATGTCTGGGAACCCGTTGTTAAGAAGGTTGCCCGCCGTCGCCAGTTCCGTCGTCCGAAAGGCTGCGCGGGCTTGTCAAAAGTCAGCCCGTCGAGAGTAGATCTGATGTCACGCTGCCCGTCGGGCTAGGATTTTTGTTAAACTTTCCTTGAACACGGCAGGTGCGAGATGAGGCCCACCGCTTCGCCGTGGCGTACCACCGCAAGCTCCGTGGCAAGGACATGTTCCTTCCAGGACGGGATAGTGTTGCGACGGAAGAAACAGATAGCGTTAGCGGTGGCGGTGGACAGCAAGATTTCGAGTCCATCGCAGGTGTGTTGGCCACGACGGCGTTTTGCCGCTACACAGCGGACGCGTCCCTTGCAGCCATCGAGCACCCATGACCGTTTGGTTACCGGGCGGGACGTTGCATGTCCGGCTTGCACGTTGTTAGTAGCCTCGCACCCAACGTTTCGGCTGTTGTTGGCCGTCACGCCCCTTATTCTAGCGAACGGGTGACTAAACGCGCATCGCACATTCGTATGTGATGCTTTTTGTGCATTTGGCTATTATCGCAGCAGCAACCCTGAGGCATTTCTCTATGAACCAGGGCTTGCTAATTTCTACTGCTGTTGGTGTCAACGGGTACTCGCAGAGTGGGCGGTGTGCGCGCCCAGCCCCTCAAAAGTACTGCTCAGTCAGTAGCGACAGCATCGAGCACCAAACTTATGGTCGAAATCATCCGTTCCTACCACAATATACTCGTCCTCTATCCGCTCGCGTCCGGACTTCATCCGCGTCCGGATTTGATCCGCCTCGAACTCACTCTAATTATCTCAAATCCTCACAGGGCTATCCTCCAAGGCCAGGAACGAGCTCACGATCACCTTTGGCTCTCTGGAGGGAGCAAGGATAGCGGGAGAGGCGGAATTGAGGAGAATACCCGGGATCGGCCCGGTTCTCGCAAAGAGAATTATGGCGTGAGGAGAGCGCACGAACAAAGCGAAGATGGTCGAAGATGGTGCTTATCAGGGAGGTTACTCGGTATCTGTTGTACGCCTCGTGGGTAAAACAGCAGTCGACTTTTTTAGGCGTGTTCTCCACGTACAGGAGCAAGGCGTCGAGTGCTGACTGGGTTCAAATCTAAAGTATATAGGGGATTCGTGCTTTGTTGCTGCTTGAGTGGGGGATATGACAGGAGCATCATTGCCGGGTAAACGCTGTCTCTGTGTGTGTTTTCGTCCTATTTGTTGTGGCGACAGTCCCCCCATTTTTCGTGGTGAGACGTGTACGATACTTTTCAGTGTATTTTTTCGTACGTCTACAACCATCCAGGGTCACACAGGAGGGGGTAAACACCAGGGCTTTGTACTTCTCTTTATTTCTTTTCATGCCCCACCTTCCTCCTGCGGTGCGTGCTGAATGTTATTTTTATCGCGAGAAGGGTCCAGCCGTCCCTTTCCCTCGTCAACGGTGCTAACGTCGAAGATTGGTACTCACGAGAACTTGTCAGCTATATTTCGCTTTCACCCGCACATTTCGTATTTTTTTCACCCCATGGGGATTCGAACTCACGACCTACCTCTGCGACTAGCGGATTGCGAGGATACCACTAGACCACCGGGGCGACCGGTAGTCTAGAACATGGCAACCCCCGGTAGTCTAGAACATGGCAACCCGAGTACCATGGCCTGGGCCTTCACTACAGATCCGTTGGTTTCAACGTCCGCAGAGTCGAAACGCGCCACGCTAGCATGTCCGTGCGGAGTCGGGGCAGCACTGGTCAAACTGATCTGTCTGGCGCTTCTATCGGCTTGACAAGGACCGCTGTAACGTACCAATTCTGCCTAACCAACACCGTATGCTCGGGTGTGAAGTTGGCGTTTGAAGAATGTGGAATGTTCACGCTGCGCACCCCGCGTTGCGGAGCAAACACTTGCCAACATCTTCAGACGAGGCCAGCCCTAAGATGCTTGTTGCTGGACAACTTGGCGGTGCTGCGGCTCCTGTGAGTGTCGACCCTAGCTGCGCCCAGTCCCACTCCCAAGATAAGGTGCCGGCCGCTGCCACAGCGAAAGGTGCGAATATATTGTTAGCCGTCCATCAACACTCTTCAGTTCTTAACTAAGTATACCGCAACCGAGAGGCTGAGCTTCAAGCAATAACCTCAAGAATCGCCAGCTCTCGTACACGACCAGAACGTCATGAAATACGCCTGTCGAGGAAGAGATGGGTCCTGGTCGAACGTGGGAGCCAGGGACCCTCCGGTTGCGAGCTTGTAGAACCTAATGTCATCGACGACGCCAGATCCGGCTGCGCTCGAACCACAGCTGGTATGCTTTGACCCACCCTTTGCGCAACTCATTTTTAAAGGTTCTTAGATATCCAAGGATCCGTCGCGCGACTCCACTGTACGGTTTCCTCCCGACTGAACCACAGCTCTATCTCGCGTCGGGCGGACTCCGGCCCATCCGAAGCGTGGACGAGATTTCGCCCTGTAGTCGTGTTTGTGTGCGAGGAGCAAGATTGTTATCACAAAGGAGCTGAACTTATTTCAACCTCGGCACAGTTTGGTCGGGACCCTTGGACACACAACAGACATACATGCCAGACGTATAAGCACGAAAAATTGAAGGAAGGCTGGAAGATGCCGAAAAACTCAAAAACGAGGAAGGGAATGAGACTCCAGAGGTCACGTTGGCGTGGAATCATTTCTGCTGGGAAGGAGAGCCGCAGCCCGGCTAGCTACGCAGCCGACGGCGAAGTGACACCGCCGCAGTGATTGACCCCGTTGCACAAGCACACAAGGGAGACAGATGACGCGCATTGGATACCAAAGGGCCGACGATTGCGACGAGACACAACACGAGTCGCAGAGAAGAGCGGAAGCTGGCTCTGACATGGGGGCTGTGGCGACTGGCGTCAAATCGAATGTACCGCAGGCACACATAGCATGACGCACCCCCACAACAATCAACCACCTGATTGAACGGAAATTTAACCATCAACTGAAAAAAAAAAAGATGACAACACCTGGCTGCTGCAGAAATTCTAGGTCGTCCATGGTAGGGCCACGTCGTTGGGCTTCAAAATATGACTCAGCCAACACCGAGGAAAGGGAGGAAGGGGGGGGGGGCGGGGAGGTGGTCACCTGCGTTCGTGCAGAGGTCTCCTCGTATTGTGCCCGCTCCCGCCTCGAGTGGGTTCGTCGCGCCCAACAACTGGCACGCGAAACGACGAAAGGTGGGGCACGCAGGCCAACGACGCAGCACGGAAGACACGAAGCTTACAAGCTGGCAGAAACAAAGCGCGTTTTTGTGTCTGTCCGTGTTTGGGGTCATTCTCCTGCTTGCGGAGATGAACACGAGCGCAATCCTCCACAATGGAGTAGCCACTCCGCCCACACACAGATATATCGTCACAGAATTCGCTACCCCTATCCTGTCAACAACCTTGCGCTCTCACTAAAAGTACCCCCAAACACAAGATCAGGTTATGTGTAGATTCAATTTATTCTGCAGCAATAGGTTCATTGGGGACGTTTGGATGGTGAGCACCGGTGCTACTCCCGGCTCGTCTATCCATCATACGACAGCAGACTAGACGAGCGGAGATTTCAGGGCGTGGCGGAGTGGAAGGCACACGTGGCTGCAGCAACAAATTGACGAAAAAATCACCTTGCGTCCCCCGGCGATGACGTTGTGCCCCTCCCACACCATGGCCACGACCGGGCCAGAGCACATGTAGTCCAACAACTTCTCAAAAAAGTCCTAAACGTCAAGGTAGTAAGGTCGAGGGAGAACGGGCAAAACCAGGCAACGAGTTGTGAGGTGGTCGACGGGCACGAGGCACAAGAACCAAGAAGAGCCCTGAGTACCAACGGTACGCCCCCCGTAGTTTACGAGTTGGAGGGCACGAGGCGGATTGTACGTATAGTGACTAACACACAACAAAATAGGGCCGCAACCTCCTTTTAAACGCACGCGAAAACCTTTTGCCTCTTCGAAAGACTGCCGCCTGTTCTGATACAGCGTACAACAAGTACGACACCGTCCCACCCACTTTGTCGGCGTGCTCCTCATAGTGGCGTTCCACCAGCTGTCGGCCGGGAGTGAGCATCTTGAGCCCGACCAGCTTCCACCCCTACGCGGTGGAAACATTTCGACAGTCAGTTGCTTGCGCCGGACACAGCAACCTCCGAAAGAAAACAAACAAGCCTCATCGAGGCGGGGATTCCGGGGGGAACATGTCGTAGGGGCGCTTGGGAGAAGAGATCAGCTGAGCGCTCAACGCCAAGGTGAAGCTTAGGGGCACTCTCAACCTCGGCGGCGTCACGACAAGATTATCAGAGCTTGCTCTACATCGGACTGTGTTCACGAGGGGCCCGTGCGGCCTGGCAATAGATGCATCGTAGTCGCACTGCCGTTTTCGCTGAGGGCTTTTCGGGAACAGGCACAAGGGTTGTCGCTCTCTTGGACGAAAAGCCCGCAACGACCCTTGCCTAAACAAAGAAAACATACCTTTCGTTCGAAACGCGACATCACCTCTCCGACGAGACCCCTCTGAAGACCATCCGGCTTTATGGCCTGCACATTCGTTACGATGGTTTTATTGGGTCAGCAACGTTCTGGTGTCCCGATGTGTAATGTAGTTGAGCACGTCGTACGAGGGGGGGGCTTAGGTGTTGGGGGGTATACACGCCCTCACATCGCCCCGGTGGTCTAGTGGGTAACCTCGCAGCCTGCTAAGGGCCAGGTCATCGGTTCGAGTCCCGGCAGAGTGAGTTTTTTTCTCACAGAATAAATCCTGGTCTAGGATGAAAGCGACGCGCTGCAAACAAAGCTCGTTGTTAGTAAACCATAGTCGACTTCGTAAGTCGCGAGGGAAGGGAAGGCTGTACCCTTCTCGCGATAAAAATACCTCAGGCAGGAACCGCAGGAGGGGGTCCAGCCCCCTCCTCCTATGTGACCCCGGCTGGGTCGTTAAGCTAGTAAAAGTGGAGGATAGGGGCCAGAGGGGCAGACGACAGAGTCCAATCAATTATGGGAGAAAAAAAAAAAAATCTCGGCGCGCCTGTCGGGGGGATCGGCGGACTAGATAGAAAAAGGCAAGTGCAATCCTCACTCTAACACATTGACAATATTTGTGCTCATACGGCGGTCCTCATGTTCTGTTCAACCTTTTCCTGGTCCACCTGTGCAGACAGACCGCGTCTCGGGACAATTGCATGTCGTTTTCGGGGCAACCAAGCTTCATTTCGAGTTGGTTCTTTGTGACACGAAATGTATTGCTCTCAACCACGGACGGTTCGTTCCGACTCTTTCAGTATACCACAAAGTATGACAGAAAGAAGCAGAAATTCAATCGAGATAAGCCTCTGTGAGGGAATGTGTTGAAGTCTTGACAGCAGGAAAGGTTCAGCGATACCTGCAGGGTACTGGAATTCGGTTCCTTACACCGAGAGACCAACCATGCCAGTTGGAACGAAACTCTTACAGTAAGACCTTTCTCTGCCGAGTCTTGGCTGGGTCAATAGCTTTGGAACCCTTCGTTTTTTCACGTGCTCTATGCACATGTATCTTGTACCTCGCGGGAATACACGTCGCAGGCAGTGTTTTCGATACAGACCTTGGCCGGAATGTCCCTCTGGGCAACTTGTTCATCGTGTGTTCATATGGCATCCGTCAAACCCGAGCGAAATAGGTAGCGGTTGCGAAGTGCGGTGGAGTGATACGAAAGTCTACAAATGTACTACAGGCAACCGAGCAAACAAGATGAGGAAGGTACGGAACTCGGGAAGGGAAGCCTACTGGCTTCCCGGTACTGCCGCATACTGCAGTAGTCTCCACATCAGGCACCAGAGCGGGACTGCTGTACGTAGGTGACTTCTAGTCAATAACCTGGATCTTGAATTTGGTTGCACCAACTTTGCCCCCGGCGGTCGCTGGCGGTTGGTCGACTACTCAGTTCTACACACAAACCCTGAACTCACAAAGAACGATCTCTCGGTGATGCTTCCCGGCATGCCGGTCCACGCATCTCCATCCTGCTGTTGTTGTGGGCCAGTTGTTGGAGATGGGCAGGATGATGGCAACGAGACTGGTGCTGTTGTTCTGGCTGGAGACTGTGCGAAGGAAATACAGGAGAGGCAGGCAAACAACGCCGCGGAGAACACGAAGGAAACACTCATCACTAGGGCAACCTTCAATCACAACAAACAAACGCTAACATATCGCGTTCACGGAGAGATGAAGATGCACCAGAGAGTAGAGGGTAAGGGTTCCGGGCAGCGGTAAGGGATTTCGCATGTGCAATTCAATTCATCAATTTGAAAAGCACGGAGAACGCCTCTTCGTATTTTCGCGCCACCTAGAACATTCCCCTCGCGGCCGAGTCGTGCGGGCACGTCAGGCTTATCCACCACGCCCATTCCCCGGCCACCATGGAAGCGGCACGACGGATGGAAGTGATCGGCTCACACCTCTCGGCCTCATCGGGTGCCTTGGCCGGCGCCCGAGACAGGCCAGACGACATCGTAATCGTTGATGCAATTCGCACACCCATCACCAGGGCAAGAAAGGTATGTGACTGCTGCGCTTTGCGTGCATCCAACGACATCAAGTGTCAAGCCGGCCGTGGTAGCAGTGTATTGCACTGCTCTGTTACCCGCTACATTCTAGCGCTCCTGAGATAGAGGGCTTTCGTATCAACCCACAACACATGTATCATCAAAAATTTCATCATGAAATCATGACGAATTCCGATTCCACCGCATTAACTAGAGAGATTCAGAGGGGCGCAGGCTCCAGGACACGCAAGCACGCACACCGCTATTTTTTTCTGTGTTGTACGTTGTACTTACTCGGTGGGCAACGTGTTTGCCAACAAGTAGAAACCATCTGCATATGATATGTACTCCCCAAACCTGAAAAGTAATTATTTAAAATCACACACCCCATATACACCCCATACACAATTTTAGTTCAATTGGGTTATCAAAAAAATTACGTGCAATTTTTAACGTTAGGACAAGCCCTCAGGGAACAAAGGCTCATTTTTATTCCGGCTACCGCACCAGGGGTGACATGAGATACCACACCGCTTGCGCCGATTTTCAAAGGTCGACTACTCCACGACGAGAAGGTGTCAAAAGCAAACGATATGTTTTGGGAAAGCTCTCAACGAGCCGGTTCCAACGCCACCATTCTCCACGCCACCACTCTTCGTGCTGTGGAATCCAAGTGATGTGTGTCTCTGACAACACCTTTGTTCACGCAATCTCCCGATTCAAACGTGCTCCGTAGGGCGCGTTCAAGGATACCACCCCTGATGTCCTTCTCGCAGAGGTCCTCAGCGCCGTTCTGGCGCGTTCCGGAGTAAGCCCGACCGACGTGGGCGAGGTAAGAGTCCTGATCCCTTCGGGGAGGTGTGGTAATGGAATTCGAAACAGGGATTGGTGCCGCGATCGTTGTCTTTTCGCCTAGCGTTCAGCGCGTCGGCTGCTAAACAGGTCAGTGTTCGGGTTGATCGAAGCCCAAGAGGCTACCGTTCCATTTCACGTGGATATATATATGCATGCTACAGAGTATTTCTCCGAGCATTCCGGTTCTCCAATCCTGCATCGCCTGGTGCCGCCGCGCGCACGAAGTCAGCTGGCACACAAAGTCGCCAAAATCAGAGGCAGGCCGCACACACCGCCACAGAAGCGTTTTTCGAGCCTCGTCGCAAGTTTTTCTCCTCGATGCATGACGATAACTGCCTCTCCTTCGACAGATATGCGTGGGCAACGTTCTGCAGCCGGGCTCCGGCGCGCTCTCGAGCCGCGTGGCGCAGGTGCGGGCGGGGATACCTCACACCGTGCCCCTCAGCACGGTGAACCGCCAGTGCTCCAGCGGGCTGCAGGCTGTCGCTCACGTGGCGGCGGGCATCAAGGCCGGCCACTACTCCGTCGGGATAGCTGCCGGTGAGAGAAATATACGGGGACGCCGATATGTTATGTAACAACACGAGGGTGGTGTGGCCGCTAACGCTGTGGATTCATTGCTACGTTATCCCGCACTCTCACCTGTGGATGTGTGTGTATGCGTCCCATTTATTATGGAGACAGTCCCCCCATTTTTCGTGGTGAGACGTGTACTACACTTTTTCAGCAGATGTATACTTGTAGAGATGAAATTCGTCGTAATTTGTAAGACAAAAGAACCACACTTACGAAAAAACGGTACTCGTTCGTGATTTGTGTTTTTAGGGCGCCGTACCGGTAATGCTCCTGCCATCACACTTCCTGACAAGAAAAAGTGGCTCCTGCGGTTGCTCGCAGTACGCCCATTGTTGCTCGCGGTACACCTTCTGCACGATGGATTGGGGTGACAAGAACCTTCGCCGCTCTCTCGCGAACAGTTATGGACTCAAATCAACCTGCGTGCGCGCCTCGTCCTTCCACCTCTAATCCCGCCCCTCGCCCTCACCGATCTCGCTCCCCATACGTTGGCCACAACGCACGATGAAAACGAAAGGCGTTGAATCCATGTCCCTCAACGCAATGGGCGGCGGCGGGGGACTGCCGCCGGAGATAGACCCGAAGTTCATCAAGGCCGACCGGGACGGCGCAGCGGTGCTCCTCCCCATGGGCATCACGAGCGAGAACGTCGCAGCGAAGTATGGCATCACTCGCGCCGAGCAGGTGCGTGTGTATGTGTGTGTGTGTGTGTTTGTAGTTAGCCTCGACCGAGCCAGCCGGGTGCTGACCAATGATTCGACGTCAGTCTTTTAGCGAGACAAAGGACGCGAACACGTTTTGTCATCAAAGGGTTCTACCGACAAGAGGGGGTACGGGAGTTGGACGATAGCAGTGTGTGTTTCTTTATTTTTGGCATCGACGGCGCTATCCGGCTTGTGTGTGTGTTTCTGTGGTCAGCACCCACCGCTGGTACAGGTTCGACCAAAGGAACGACGTCCAGTCTTAACGGTGTGATGAAACGCGGGCACGCCTTCTAGTCCGCGGGCTCCACCCCCCCCCCCCCCCCCCCCCCCCCCCCCCCCCCCCCCCCCCCCCCCCCCCCCNCCCCCCCCCCCCCCCGACAGGGGGGCACCGCGGAGGAGGTATGTGCTAGCATGTGTACATGTATGTTTCTTTGGGTAACATGGCCCGCGCTGACCGGCTGACCCACGAAAAATGGGTGTCAGTCGTGCGGGACAACAAACAAGCGTGCGTTCCAGTTCGCGGGCCCCCCTTCGACAGGAGGCGCGCAGGGGAGACTGGTGTGGACATAATCCGGACTCCGTTTTAAACGTACTTGTGGAAGGAGAAGGCACTTTATATGCTAGGCAGGACTCCCCCAGTGTCTACTCGCGTGTGCCAAGCATAATTACTCATTCGTCACACACTACCCCTCTTCACTCTACTGCTGTCTGCCCTTACGTTCCACGCTACAGCGGTTATCTGCTCTTACGTTCCACCGTACTGCTGACTGCCTCTCCACCCTGCTGCTGTCTGTACGTTCCACACTACAGCTGTTATCTGCTCTTACGTTCCACCGTACTGCTGTCTGCCTTTACGTTCCACCCTGCTGCTGTCTGCTTGTACGTTCCACCGTACAGCTGTTGCCTGCTCTTATCTACTGCTATTGTATGCTCTCACGCTTCACCCGCAGGATGCCTTCGCGGCGGAGAGTCACGCCCGGGCTCACCGGGCCCAGGAGGAGGGGATCTTCGACGACGAGATCTTGCCCGTTCGGGTGGGTGGGGGTTATTGTACCTTTTCCACGCATTCCAAGCGAAACACGACGAACGGCGGTAGACGTACCGCCATTTAATATTGAGGGGAATTTGTGCACAAGAAAAATAATTAAAAAATCTCCCGTGTAACCTTCCCCTTGTGTGACCCCGGCTGATAGGTAAGGTATATACGCACGCCGAAAGGTTTGTTAACCGGCGCCAGAATAGATGGGACGAACACACACACACACACTGCCAACAGCCGCCTTTTTGGAACAATGTTCCTTATCACTCTTCTTCCATGTTGCCGCATGTATTTTCAATTTGTCATGCTTGTAGGCGTACCCCTTCCAAGGGAACCCTCAACCTCGCTGTAATCTTGGTGTTTTGTCGTTTACCGTCCAAGCCTACCCTTCCTTCTGGGTCAACTTGATTTTCGCGAGTCTCTTGCTGCTGCGGTTGTTAGCTTCCAAACGAAAATCTGTGAATCTGGCGTATTTCCAGCTATTTTGACGCAAAAGCTTGGCAAGCATGGTCTGTCGGCTTTTTTTATTTTCACAAACAAGTTGCCACTGCTTCGGGGGTAGGGCAGCCCATACCCAAAACATCCCGAAGATATTCACGACTTGAGGCCCTTGTAGAAGCTTTTTGTTTTTTGTTTTTGATCTCCTCGGCGCGAGGGCACAGTTGTTGTTGTTACTCGTTGCTGATGTTTCCTCTTGAAATGGACATTCTAGCTTCTGCCGCCCGGTGCCCTGGACGCGCTGTTGTGCTCAGCTTGAAGAGCGACGAAAGAGTCTGAAGTAGATTGCGCCCAACTGGGGTCTCACGTGCACGTGAACGCAACAACGTCAAGCCATCGTAGATGTCGTAGATGTTCGTGTTTCGCTTAGGGTGGGGCGGGATTGGGGGAGTACCGTTCGTGCTCGGAGACAAGCAAGACCAAGGGGTTTTGTGCAGCCCATGCGGTTCTGCTGTCATGGCGCCCCTCTCAACACGCACGTCGCCCCTCTTGCTAATCGACCCATCTGCGTGTCCCTCCACTCTGTTCGCATGCAAATGCATCCACCCACACAAGCCCCCCCCCCTCCCCTTTTTTTTTGTTCAGCCAGCTTCGGCGAAGTAGAAAGGAACGGTCGGCCATCCGCGATCGGTCTTGCAGGAACAATGCTTGGTGCTCTCGAGGACGCCTGGCCAATGGTCTAACAGCTAAATCATGCAAGACTTGAGTACGCCCCCCCCCCGGTCCGTCCCGGCATTGTAGGGATGCGGATCAACGGTATAACATCTAAATCATACAATATGAGTACACACGAGTGTGCCCTCCCCTTGACACCACAATGGGCATCACAGACAACGGTCAAGGGCCCCGACGGTGCGGAGGTGGACGTGTTGGTGTCGAAAGACGAGGGGGTGCGTGCGGGGACTACCGCGGCCAAGCTGGGCGGCCTCAAGGCGGTCTTCAAGAAGGGCGGCACGACCACGGCGGGGAACGCGAGTCAGGTGCGTGGACGGAGGCGAAAAAAAAGCACGGAACAGAGCCACGGCAGCATTGTTCATTTTTGTTGTCAATCAAGATACACACATTTGGTGGAACCGGTTGTTTTAGCCTGTTAATCTCGAAGCCTTCTTGTTGTTTCGTCGTCGATCTAATACGCCTTGCTGGAACAGCGGGCGGAGACGGACAAAATGATAGGTGGAAAGAGCATGCAGCCGGGCGTGATGGACGCAGCATGCCCCCTGACTGAAAAATCGCGCGCGCGATCGTTCACTTTGTTCACGGGCGCGACCGTTCAAGAGCCCGTTGTGTCGACCGCACCCTGACCATTTACACAACAGGAAATGTTGAAGTTTTGCCGTGAAACTGTGTCTCAACACACAGTGTAGAAGTGGTGATGATTTCCCACGTCACAAAACGATTGGGTTCCCAACCCCAATGATAGTCATGCTTCACGCGCAACGAACGCTATACGCGAGTATCCCCCCCCTCCCCCCATCCCTTCTTCCGTTCCCCCATCCGCCTATTGCTGAAATATCGGGACTAGCAAATCGCCCTCTAAACGCGCGCCGGGCTAACTAAGCACACCACGCGTTCTGCTTGGTCAGGTGAGCGACGGAGCGGCCGCCACCCTTCTGATGACGCGAGAGTCGGCGGCACAGCGGGGGCTCCGTCCCCTGGGGGTCTTCCGCTCGTACGCCGTCGTCGGGGTCCCGCCAGAGGTCATGGGTGAGCCGGGTTTATTTTCTGTAGGGCCCCCAACCCCCTTTCATAGTACTGTAGCAAGATGGGGCAACAACGTAGAATGTACGACTCTAGACAATATATACGCCCCGCACGCGAAACCGGCAATATAAGCCCGGTTGGGATATCTTGAGGCGTAGGTACGGGTTCAGTAGTAGTGAATTGGCGACAAGATTCGCTCCTTGTGTGTGGCAACGATACAGACTAGAACAAACCCACGTCGTTGTGTGGCGAGTGTGACCTTACGGGCTGATACAGCAGTGCGCCGGAGATGTACGCCGAAGGTGTTGTAGACCGACGCCAGGTCATATTTCTACGAACGCAAACACACGCGCATTTTCGGGGTGGAGGTCGGGTTTTGCGTTCTGAGTGAGTGCCAAGGCGGGCTTATCGAGAAACAAGTACGAGTTGTATGTTTGGTTGCGGTTAAGTGGAAGAGCATGCCGTAGCTGGTTCGAGAAAGGTGTCGTGGGTGAGCTATATGATGATGATGACAGAAATCTCACCAACCGAGATGACCAAGCCTCGCAGGCCAAGACTCTTGGGAACATTACGAAGCTTTTCACGTCTCATGCTGACTTGTCTGGTTTGGAAAAGCGATTGTAGTTTCTCTTGGTGGCTGCTGTTCTCGACGGAGTGGGATTGTGGACCTTCCCGCTGTCCGAGCTCCATCCGCAACGGCTTCGTGCTTCCCCTTGTGTGCTGTTCTCGGACATGTAACAAGCTGTGTACCTCACCAACCAAGGGGTGTGTGTTGATTTTCCTCCTGAGAGGTGGATTTTTACGACGCTCGTTCCCTGCGTTACACGCGATATGTACCTTGCTTCATTTTGCTCGAACCAACGAACGGGGTACGCGACAGCGCACTTCTTGCGCAGGGGCCCTCCAGCGACGATCCAAGGGCGGCTGCTGTTGCTGTGCAAACCCCCCAGTCTTGTTTCTCCCTCTTGCAACAACTGGCCGCTGCAGTAGTTGCGATTCCTGCGGTAACGTCACGGGGGTCAATATATATATACTTCGAAGTATTTTATAAACCATTTGGTCGGTTTCGTCTCTGTCGCATTGGCAGTGAGGGAGAAACCCTCATCGGCAGCACAGTCTGTTGCTTTTATCCTGACAATGCGCATCCTGTATGCTTTGTGTGTGTGTGTGTGTTCCTTTTTTTTTTTTTCCCTGTGCAGGAATCGGGCCAGCGGTGGCGATCCCCGCCGCCGTTGGCAAGGCTGGGCTCGAACTCGGCGACGTTGACTTGTTTGAGCTCAATGAGGCGTTCGCCAGCCAGGCCACCTACTGCATTAAGGTCAGTCCTAAGAGAGGCACGGAGAATGTGCAGTGGGGTGGTGAACTCATGTAATCACATGCCGTAGTCGTTAGACCATTGACCTCGCATCCCTACAACATGCCGGGAAGGAGCGTTATGCCGGTCCAGGATACGTTTTACAAGCATCACCAGAAGCTGGTCATCATCGTTGCGTTTTTTTTTTTGGGGGGGGGGG